TCCTTCCGCCTCAGCCTTCCGAGTAGCCGGAATTACAGGCGCGCGTTACCACACCCGGCTAATTTTTTTATTTTACTGTAGAGATGAGGTCTCGCCTGCACAGGCGGGTCTTGAACCCACGGGCTCAGGCAATCCACTCCCTCAGCCTCCCAAAGGCACCGGATTACAGGCTGAGCCACCGAGCCCAGCTAAGACAATTCTTTAAGGTACCAGTACAGTTCCTGGAAAGGGTAGAAAGAATGCATGCAAAGATTAATTAAAAATGTAAATAAGGCTGGGCACAGTGGCTCACGCCTGTAATCTCAGCACTTTGAGAGGTGGAAGCGAGAGGACTATCTGAGCCCAGGGGTATGAGACAAGCCTGGGCAATCTGGCGAGATCTCATCTCTACAATAAATCAAAAAATTAGCCTGGTGTGGTGGCATGCGCCTGGTTCCAGCTACTTGGAAGGCTGAGAGGGAAGGATTGCTTGAGCTCTTCCACCTGAGCCCAGCAGGTTGAGTCTACGGTGGCGTGAGCATGCCACTGCACTCTAGTCTGGGCAACAGAATGAGATTCCAACTCAAAAAAAAAAAAAAGAAAAAAGTAAATAGGCAGGGCACAGAGGTTCATGTCTGTAATCTCAGCACTTTTTTATTTATTGTAGAGTCAAGGTTTTGCTATGCTTCCCAGGCTGGTCTCAGAAGCAAGAGGACTACCTGAGACCAGGTCTAAGACCAGCCTGGGAAACATAGCAAAACCTTGACTCTACAATAAACAAAAAAAAAGTAGCTCCTGTAGTTCCAGCTACTTGGAAGGCTGAGGCAGAAAGATCACCTGAGCCCAGCAGGTCAAGGCTGCGGTGGCTTGTGAGTGTGCCATTGCACTCCAGCCTGGGCAACAGAGACTACAATACAAAAAAACAAAACAAAAACTGTCAATTATGATCCAAGAAGACAACACAAACCATTACTTGCCTCATTACCAGATGAATTCTACAGATGATAATTAGTTTGCAAGAGTTCAAAGGACCCAAGTAATAACTTCAGACTCAGAAGTTAAAGACGGGCCTGGCTCAGTGGCTCAGCCTGCAACCCCAGCACTTTGGGAGGCCAAGGCGAGTAGATTACCTGAGCCTACGGGTTAGAGACCAGCCCAGGTAACTTGGCAAGACTTAGTCTCTACAATAAATCAAAAAATTAGCCAAGCATGGCAGTGCATGCCTGTAGTTCCAGCTACATTTGGAAGGCTGAGGTGGAAGGATCGCTGGAGCCCAGCAGGTTGACACTGGGGTGACTGTTGAGTGTGCCACTACACTCCAGCTGGGCGACAGAGTGGGACTCCAACTCAAAAAAAAAAGAGTTCAAGATGATTTTTCAAGGACACAAGTTACGAACTGGATTTGGAAAGATGAGTGGTGTTTTTAGACAAGTGAATTATGGGTAGAGATGCAAAAGCTCAAGCTAGGGGCAAGGGAAAACTGGTATAAGTTTGTACAGGCAGAGATTTGTCAGGGATATAATTTTATTTTATTTTTTTGAGTCACAGTCTCATTCTGTCGCCCAAGTTGGAGTTCAGTAGCATGCTCATGACCATCGCGGCCCCAACGTGCTGGGCTCAGGCGATCCTTTCCCTTCAATCAGTATTCCAAGTAGCTAGAACTATAGGCGTGTGCCACCACGACGGGGTATTTTTTAAATTTATTGTAGAGATGAGGTCTCACCAAGTTGCCCAGGCTGGTCTTGAACCCCTGGGCTCAGGCAATCCACTCGCCTCGGCCTCCCAAAATGCTGGGATTATAGGCTTGAGCCACTGCACGTGACAAAACTAAGTTCTTTACTTCTAAGACCCGTGCCTAGTGTGGTAAGTTCACGTACAGAAGGCAACACCTCACACTAAAGATAGATAAGTATATAGCTATTTTAACCCAAATAAAAACAGGTGTTTAGAGCAGACTTCTTCATACCCTGCTAGCTCACATTCTCTCAGTTGTAAAAGATAACCCATCCCACCTAAACTCGCTTTATTATTTTTTCTTTTTTTTTTTAACCTTATACCAGTGATTGCATCCAACTGTGCTTCAGACATATCTCAAATTCAGGTACAAACTGTTCTCACTAAAGCTGCTAAAACTTTGAATTATGGTTTAATTCTTCCCTGGATTCCTCCCAGTTATCTCTCTAGTAAATTTCCTTACATAAGCTCTGTCTATCCAAACAAATTCTTCTTGAGCAAAGTAGCCCGATTTTAGGCTTTTCCTTTTTTTTAAATGTAGAGACAGTCTCACTAGGTCCTTCTGCCTCGGCCTCCCAAAATGCTGGGATCACAGGTGTGAGCTACCACACCAAGCCAGAATTAGCATTTCTTTTTTTTTTTTTTTGAGTTGGAGTCTCACTCTGTTGCCCAGACTGGAGTGCAGTGGCCACTCCCAGCCACTGCAGCCTCAACCTGCTGGGCTCTGGCGATCCTTCTGCCTCAGCCTTCCAAGTAGCTGGAACTACAGGCATGCGCTACCACACCCGGCTAATTTTTTTGATTTACTGTAGAGGTGAGGTCTCACCAAGTTGCCCAGGTAGGTCTGAAACCCAGAATTAGCATTTCTAAAACCCACTTTAACTTTTTAACCTTCTAGAAAGAATACAATAAGTTATAAAGTAAGGTATTTCTTCACAACCTCATACAAGGGAAAACAATTTCAGAATAATGCAGCCTTATTTTGAGATAGTCTTATTAAATGTATTAGTGTAATACAGACCATAAAGAACAATACATAAGCTGGATGTGGTGCATGCTTGTAGTCCCAGCTACTCTGTGGCTGAGGCTGCAGTAAACCATGATCGAGCTGTTCCACTCCAGCCTGGATGACAAAGCGAGACCCCAACTCAAAAAAAAAAAAAAAAGAACATTGCACAGTCAGCTCTATAGTTATCTGGATATTGAGTAAGTATAAGGAAAGAAGTCTTTCATTCTCAATCATAACAGGATTTTAATGCACTAGAAAAGGTACATGATTGGAAGGAGGTTTGGCTGAGGAGAGAGCACAAGATACCTAAAGGAATAAGAATGGAAAAAAAGGATGTCTCAGGCATGAAGAACATGGGTCATCTCAAATTTTTGACAACAGGCTTTGTCCACCATACACTAATCCTTTCTGAAAATCCCAAACACCCAATAGAAAATTTAGATGATATATTTGTTTCTACAAAGCTTTGTAATTGCATAGTTTGGTATGCCAACCAGATTATAAATTCAAAGGCAGGGTCAATATCCACCAATGTATTAGGGTTGTGCTAAGAGAATTAAAACAATTCCTGATTCAACACCTTACTCATTGAACAGAGGTTAGGAGACATAGGAAATACTATAAATTATTTTACCTATAAACTATTCAACTGTTGAACATGTTGAGAATTATTTTCCAAAGCAATTCTTACACGACTAGGAAAATACTCACGAGGTATCTATGCCAAATGTATCTGCAGTGAACCACTTGGTACATATCCCACACTGTAGCTCTACCTCTCCCAGCTGCCGGCCATTCTCTTCATCCACGGAGCCCACCTGAGTATCCATCACCTCTGAAGTATCCCCAGCACCTTCCTGTGTCTGCAGAGCAATTACAGAAGACTCTAATTAGTTGAACTAAATGCATTTTTGATTCACCTAAAAATGTAAAAACAAACTCTATTTTGCCTTGCAAACATCTAAAAAAATACTTACTAGTGTATCTTTTCCATTAGAGGATTCTGTCTCCAAACCACCACTTACATCAACCAAGTTTGCATCCCTATAAAATAATGAAAGCACTCGGTGAGAATTTCCAAGAGAAACAAACCTCAAAAACCTGATACCTTAGGCTGGGTTCGGTGGCTCAGCCTTAATCACAGCACTTTGGGAGGCCGAGGTGAGTGGACTGCCTGAGCCTGTAGGTTCGAGACCAGCCCAGGCAACGTGGCAAGACCTCGTCTCTACAAATAAAAAAATTAGCCGAGCGTGGTAGCAGAAGGCTGGGGCCGAAGGATCGCCTGAGCCTAGCTGGTCGAGGCTGCAGTGGCTGTGAGTGTACCACTGCACTCTAGCCTGGGCGACAGAAAGAGACTCCCAACTCAAAAGAAAAGTTGATACCTACAGATGACCAAAATACAGCTGAACTTCCCACTCCTATAGCTTTTTCAGCTAAGCTGATCCTCAGACTGGATGCCATTAGATTAGTCAGGCTTTTAGGAAGAACGTGGCTAAAACAGTGGCAGGCCCATGGAGCACAGGGAAGCCTAACCGGCCCTTACAGACCAGTCTACACCGGTTAGAGTTGGTCCTGGGAGAGGTTCAGAGATGCAGCCCTACCAAAACTCCACGGTTTTGCTCGAGGTCAGGTTACTGTTAGCACAAAATCAATCACTGAGACAGCGGGAGTTGCCAGGGAAGAAGGCTTTTTATCTGGGTAATGTATCTGAGAACAGGTGGGAGGAAGGACTGTAAAGCAGCAATCAGGGTGGGAAAAGGAAGCAATGATGAGTCTCTGTCTCATCGTCTGGATGCAAAAGTTCTGGTGAGGTTCAGGCCTTTGCCTAAGGGTCAGTCTCCTGAGGGAGGAACTCAAATAAGGACAAAGTAAGCTTTAAATTTTAAGACCAGGAGGATCACTTTGCTTATTCAAAGGAAATATGGGGAAATCCGGCCCGTTTCAGTTATTTCTTGGAGGGGACACTGCAGAATGGCTTCTTTTCTGGGATGCTTGGGGTTCTGCTAGGAGAGTGAGCTGCCAGACCCCAGCCGGGTCTTTGCACCCGAGAGGAGCCGAGCCTTGGGCCGTGGGAGGTGCGGAAGGGGCGTGAACTGCGGCGCAGCAGGGGGTGGGGCAGGGGGAGCCGCGGGGGCGAACTCCAAGGCCGCGGGATTCCAGAGGGGCTGCGTCCCTTCTGGAACCCCACCACCCTCCGGGCCAGGCCTTCCTCTCGCGTACCCCTCAGGCCGGGCCTCCCTCCCACGTCCTCTCGGGCCGTGGGGCGTCTCACCCACTCTCAGCCTCCCCGGCACTGGGCTCAGCGGCAGGAGTCGTAGACGTCCCCTCCGCGGCGGCCGGGGCAGCTGTGACCGCTGCCACCGGCTTCGTCTCCCCCTCTTCCGCCGCTGTTGCATTCGCGGCCGTTCCCGGGCCGGGGCCGGCACCCGCTCCCGGGCCGGGGCCGGTTCCCGCCGCCGCCATCCCTGCCGCCCCCCCCAGACTTCTCGCGAGAACGCTCCGCCTCGCGCGAGCTGCTAGCTAGTGCTGTCATCTTCAAACAGGAAAGGCTTACGGTGGGTCCCTCGCCTGCCTGAGGAGGCCGAGCTTGGGGCCGCTTTAAGGCCGGGCGGGCGGGGCCGCGGCCAAGGCAGGAGATGCTGGATGAGTAGCTAAACTCCCTCTAGGACGGATTCATTTTAGCGCGCAGTGCGCGCACTTGCGTGGTGGACGGGACATCCCCGCGCAGACAAGGCGCCCTGAGAGCGCGGCCGCGGCCGTTGTGCGCCCCGGAGCCGCGGCTCCGCATCCATCGTGGGAGACAGCCTCCCGAAAGTGGCGCGTCGCCCCGCCCCGCCCCGCCGCGGCGACGGGTTGACTGCATGGTGGCCGGTTACTGGAAGCGCATGTCCAAGCGGCCTTTAGAGAGGCGCATCAGGACGAGTTGGGAGGGTGGCCTGAACCCAGGAGTTGGAGACCAGCCTGAGCAACATAATGAGATCCCCTTTCTACAAAAAATACTAAAACTAGCCGGGCGTGGGGGAGCACACTTATAGTCTCAGCTACAGCTGTGGGATCGCCTCACCCGGGAGGTCGAGGCAGCAGTGAGTTATGATGAGGCCACTGCACTGCAGCCTGGGTGACAGAATGGGGGCCCCCCAAAAGAAAGATAGAAATAGAATTGATGCTAAACCAAGCCGGGCACGGTGGCTCACGCCTGTAATCCCAACATTTTGGGAGGCAGAGGTGAAAGGATTCCCTGAGTCCAGGGGTTCGAGACCAGCCTGGGCAACTTGAAACCTCATCTCTACAATAAATCAAAAATTAGCCGGGCGTGATGACGTGTGCCTGTAGTTCCAGCTGCTTGGAAGGCTGAGGCAGAAGTATCTCCTGAGGCTGCGGTGGCCGTGAGCATGCCACTGACCTCACCTCGGTGACAGAGTAAGACTCCCACTCAAAAAAAAAATAAAAAATAAGAATCAATGTTAGACCTTTCTAATTCTAGCAATAATATTGATTCATGGGCACTTGAATTAATAGAGGAAATAGGCCAGGCTTGGTGGCTCATGTCTGCAATCCTAGCACTTTGGGAGGCCTGGGCTCCTACGTGAGCCCAGGAGTTCGAGGCCAGCCTGGGCAAGATAGTGAGACCTTGTCTCTACAGAAAAATACATACATAGATATACACATACATACATGGATCGCCTGAGACCAGGAGGCTGAAGCTGAGGCTGTGGAAAAGATAAGGATGTCTTAGCCGGGTGTGGTAGCACGTGCCTGTAGTTCCAGCTACTTGGAAGGCTGAGGCGGAAGGATCGCCGGAGCCCAGCAGGTCGAGGCTGTGGTGGCCGGGAGCGTGCCACTGCACTCCAGTCTGGGTGACAGAGTGAGATTCCAACTCAAAAAAAAAAAAAAAGATAAAGATGTCACTTGGAATTATCACAGGAACTGGAGACCAAGGTTAAATGCCCATGGCTGGCAGTGAGGGCCTGACTGAGCTGGGAGGAGGCACGTTTGACTCCTGTGTCCCCATTGTCCTTCACAGTGCTAAGCTGCATGAGCGGAAGAGCAAAAATGTATAGAAACATGCCTCGGAATTTTCAGTTTTGCCAAACTGGTAAACGTCAGGGCCAGGATAAAAGGGAGTCAAAGGTGATAATGAGAAAGCAGTTCAGATTATTCATGGCCAGAGAGTAGGGACAGAAAAGACTGGAGGAAGCCAGTGCCCAGAAGGCCTGATAGGAGGCAGCACTGCAATATGCCTGTGGGTAAAAGTAGGCAAGGTTAGGAGAGAATCAGACCTCATTTCTAGAACTGAAAAGCAAAGCAGCCACCAAAACTGAGGACCTTCTCAAGGCAAGTTAATGAAAATCACTAACAGCACCGGGTTGGAAGTTTAGGATGGACAAACAGGGGAAACATCTTTAGGAGATCTCTTCCCAGGGACTACTCAATTCACCCAGTTTGCCAGGAAGCTGATCTGATGCAGCTGGTGAGGCAGGGGATAAATTATTCTCTCTGTGATGAGAATGTTGAGCCCATTCTCCTCTCATCCTCAAATACCATTAGAATGCTCCTAATTATTACTCCTGAGTGGTGGAATGATAAAGACTGCCTATTGTTTTATCTGTATTTTCTGAATGCTACTGTGCACATGTTGCTCAAATCAGAAATAGAGGCTTAAAAAACAGTGTCCTGTGTCCCCTTCATCACTTTTCTCCACCATGTCACAGTTGTGTTCCTTCTGGGTTCTGTGGCCTCTGCTCTAGTCCACCTACTATGTGTCGGTCCCAGCTCACTAGGATCATCTCTGCCAGATCTGCAGGTTTCTACTTTAGCCTGTCCCAGCCCATCATTCTACTGCCTTTTACAAGAAACTCAGCCTCAGGCTGGGCACAGTGGCTCAAGCCTGTAATCCCAGCACTTTGGGAGGCCAAGGTATGAGCATGCCACTACACTCCAACCTGGGCAACAGTGAGACTCTGATTCAAAAAAAAAAAAAAAAAGTTGCAAAAGAGTATTGGGACTACCGTCTCATCCCATTCGATTTAATTATTTTGGATGACGTTAACAAATTTAAGAAGCAATTATTTTGACCGATGGATCCTCAGGATTGGAGAATAAAAAAGGAGTGTAAAAAACCCCCAATATTATGTTGCGATCATACTTTTTTTTGTTTTTTTGTTTGAGTTGGAGTCTCACTCTGTCGCCCAGACTGGAGTGCAGTGGCCGCTCCCAGCCACCGCAGCCTCGACCTGCTGGGCTCCGGCGATCCTTCCGCCTCAGCCTTCCGAGTAGCCAAAATTACAGGCGTGCGCTACCACGCCCGGCTGATTTTTTGATTTATTGTAGAGATGAGGTCTCGCCAGGTTGCCCAGGCGGGTCTCGAATCCGCGGGCTCAGGCAATCCACTCGCCTCAGCCTCCCAAAGGTGCGGGATTACAGGCTGAGCCACTGAGCCCGGCTGATCATACTTTTTTAAAATGTGATCATGCTTGTATATTTGCTAAGTGGATAAAAAAAGAAATCTAGAGTTATACCCACTAGACTTTTACTGGTGGTTATCACAAGGGTATGGAGGCGAGTACAGGAATTTTTTGCTCTCTGCACAATATACTTATGTGGTATTTTAGATTTTTCTGTGAATTAGATTTATAGTCAGAAAAAAGTAAATACTTTTTTTTTTTAGTCGAAGTATCACTGTTCCCTGGGCCAGAGTGCAGTGGCATGGTCATAGCTCACAACAGCCTCAACTCCCTGATCTCAGGCAATCCTTCTACCTCAGCCTTCCAAGTAGCTGGGACTATAGACCCACAACACCATAATCGTTTTTTAATTTTTTTGTGGAGATGAGGTCTCACTATGTTGTCTAGACTGGTCTCAAAGTAAGCGCAAGCAATTCATTTGCTTTGGCCTCCCAAAATGCTGGGATTATAGGCATGAGCCACCACGACTGTCCACACTTTCAAATCCTTTACATATAAATGAACTAAGCCACACAAAACAATTTCTTCAGGACACTGTTGTAAACGAACCTACTTCTATCATCTTTTGAGCAGGAAAAAGATGATCCAGGCCCTTAAGAACTGATGATTTTCTTTGCATTTAAAAAGAAAACAGGGCTAGGTGCGGTGGCTCGTGCCTATAGTCCCAGCACTTTGGGAGACTGAGGTGAGAGGATTGCCTGAGCCCACGGTTCGAGACTAGCTTGGGGAACTTGGCAAGACCTCATCTCTACAATAAATCAAAAAATTAGCTGGGCACGGTAGCACGTGCCTGTGGTTCCAGCTATTTGGAAGGCTGAGGCAGAAGGATCACCTGAGCCCAGTAGGTCAAGGCTGTGGTAGCCGTGAGCATGCCACTGCACTTCAGCCTGGGCAACTGAGTGAGACTCCGACTCAAAAAAAAAAAAAAGAGAAAAGAAAAGAGGCCCAGTGGCTCACGTCTTTAATCCTAGCACTTTGGGAAGCAAAGATGAGAGGACTGCCTGAGCCCATGGGTTTGAGACCAGTCTGGGCAACTTGGGGAGACCTCATCTCTACAGTAAATTAAAAAATTAGCCAGGCATGGTGGCATGTGCCTTTAGTTCCAGCTACTTGGAAGGCTGAAGTGGAAGAATCCCCTGAGTGCAGTTCAGAAGGTTGAGGCTGTGGTGGCCATGAGTGTGCCACTGCACTCCAGCCTGGGTGACAGAGTGAGACTTGGGCTCAAAAAAAAAAAAGAAGAAAAGAGAAAGAAAACAGTCCGGCGCAGTGGCTGAAACCCGTAATCCTAGCACTTTTGGGAGGCCGAGGTGGGATGATTGCTTGCGCCCAGAAGTTGGAGACCAACGTAGGCATATAGTGAGACCTCGACTTTACAAAAATAAAAAATAAAAAAATCAGCTAGGCATGGTGGTGTGCCTGTAGTCCCAGCTACTCGGGAGAATGAGGTGGAAGGATTCTGAGCCCACATGGTCTAGGTTGCGGTGAGCCGTGGTCATACCACTGTATTCCAGCCTGGATGACAGAGACCCCAACTCAAAAACTAAAATAAAAACAGAGACATATATGAGCAGGATTCTAATTGTTGCTTAATAAACTTCTCGCTCTAGAAACTTACCCGAAGCTGTGTTGATTTTGTCTCTCAGCCAGCAGTCACAACTCATTTCTTCCATGAATATTTTCTTGCTGCTCTCCCAGAGATGGATGAAGCTTTCCAGAAAAGCCTACAACTGAAACACCTGGCTCCAGACCTTCTTCCACATCCCAGGTGCCTGCTTCTAGCAAAATAATGGAGCAGAGTGGTACTTGCAGATTGAGGCTGCTTATCAGGGTGGGGACTGAGATTTTCCCATTTCTAACAATTTCCAGGTGATGCCTAAGGATCACGCTGTGAATAGCAGGGGAGTAGAATGTTTCTGACTCTAACTCACCTCCCCACTAGCTTCTCTGACAATGAATGTCCTTTTCAATAGGACTTTTTGTATAGCTGGCAGTAACCAG